TCTTCTGCCAATAGGTGCACCATTGCCAGCAAGCATCCTGCCTGGAAGCACTCAGGTCTCTCGTTCCATGGGCCAGAAAGCCCACTGCTCTGTCTCACCTCGTCTCGTGGTTCTGCTGCCTCCACGGCTGCTGCCTCTCCATGTCTTTTCTGCCACCTCAGTGCAGGGATCCTGAGTGCAAAGACCTGCTCCACTCCTGGCTTTTCTTTCTTGATAACAGTGAGATCCTTTCAGCATCAGGGATGGCTCATTTTAAGCTGAGTACAATGGCAAAACTGACCAATCACAACCTTAGCATTCCATACATATTATTTGCATGGCCCCACCCCCACAAGGGAGCCATTTGCCTTGTTTACATTATTAAAGCTATCCATCCCCTACCAGGCCACAAGCACCTCCCATTTGCATAGTCCCACCTCATCATCTGTGGGGGATCACAAAGACTGTCTAAAGGAGCCATGGGAAGTAACTCACTGCACCACAAGATCATTTACCTCATTTCCTTCCTTTGCTTTAGCTGCTCTCCATTCAAGGGCAAGTTTCAGAGTCTCTTCTCACATCCATTTTGGTCTCTTCTTCCTTTCCTGTCTTCTTAATGACCTTCTGCTTTCTTCATGGATGATGTTCATCCCACACCTCATCTGCTCTTGGGTCATTGGTGCTCAATGCATCAAATCTGTTCTTCAGATAGTCTCTAAATTCAGGTGGGATGTGATCAAGGTCGTATTTTGGTACTTGTGGAGTTGTTTTAATTTTCTTCAGCTTCAGCTTGAACCTGAACATGAGAAATTGATGGTCTGTTCCACAGTCAGCTCCAGGTCTTGTTTTAACTGAAGATACTGAACTTCACCATTGCCTCTTTCCACAGAACTAGTCGATCTGATTCCTGTGTATTCCACCTGGTGAGGTCCACGTGTATAGCTGCCATTTATGTTGTAGCAAAAAGATATATGCAATGAATAAGTCATTGATCTTGTAAAATTCTTAGGCCTAGCAGGATGCTAAAACTGTCCAATCCCCTCACTAGTGTTTCATACACCTTCTATCCATGATCCCACCCCCACAAAGGTGCCATGCACCTTATTTACATTATTAGAAAACTACCCAATCTCCTTAGTGGGCCACAAGCACCTCATCTGCAGAGTTCCACCCAATCATTTGTTGGGAATTACAAAGACTATGGATAGAAGGACCATACTAAGTACTTTACTACATCAGAGTCAGGATGGGTTAGGATATGCAGGGTCAGGGTTAGGGCTTCTTTAAGCCTGGGTCAAGAACATATAGCCTTTTCAGGGATGGCTTAGGGCTTTTGAAGACCTGGTCCATGAAGTTTCAGCTTTAAACATTCAGGCTTAGGGCTTTTTAGACAAAAATGTCAGACAGGTTTAGGCTTTCAGAGCCAGGCTTAGAACTTTTGGGGTTCCAGGTTAGGAATGTATATGTTTTGTCGGGCCATGTTTAGGACATTATAGGGCCCAGATAAGGCAGGATGAGACTTTCAACAGCCAGATTTAGGGTGCTTTAGGGCCCACGTCGGGCTGCCTTGGCTGTCAGACAGTGTCAGGCAGACTTAGGCTTTCAGAGACAGGCTTAAGGTATTTTAAGGCCTGAGTTAGGCAGCCTTAGACTTTTCAGAGCCAGGCTTAGGGCTTTTTAGGGAACAGTGTAATATATGCTTAGAGTTTCTGAGCCAGGGTTAAGGCTTTGTAAGGACTGAGTTAGGTAGGATTTAGTTTATAGAGCCAAGCTTAGGGCTTTTTAGTGCTGGATCAGGTAGACTCAGGCTTTCAAAGCCTGACATGAGGCTTTTTAATGCCAACGTCAGGCAGGTTTA